AGACCATCAGTGCATGGAAAGTGTTAAAGAAAATTCCTTAGCTACCTTTTTACGGAAACAGTGAATGGTAGCGGTAAATTCTAGTTGACAAAATCTCTGTATTTSTTTCATTTAATCTAGCTTTAAAATAATGAAAGACAACAAGACAACAAGAGTTTTCTCACCACCACTTGTCTCATAAGTCGAAGGAGAGGCATTGCTCGGTGYCAGGGTGCACTTAGCTGATGACGATATCAAGATATCATCAAGGCCCACTACACCGTTTCCATTTATTAGCCCCTCAAATACCACCTAATAAAATAAAAAAATAGAAACATATCATACAGGTTTTGTTTTTTGTTGCGCCATTTTTGGCCATCTACAAATAATAATAACGGGGTTCTTATATAGCGCATTTTACATGGTCTCAATGCGCTTCACAATCATGACCAGTGGAGGACTTTACGGGCTGCGTATTTAGGCGCTAGTGGCAGCCGTGCAGCTTACAGTCATGAGTGATTTGTTAGTAAGTTAGTATTAATGCCTCCAGATTGGGAAATGCTGTTGAACCGGGAGACAATCCCCTACTCTTTTACGAATAATTCAACAGATTCTTTTATGTCCCCCATTTTACTGTAGGTTAGGAAGGTTTGGGAGACAGGGCCTACGGTTTTAAGTCCTTGTCCGAGAAGACTTGAAGGTCTAACCATTTGCAGATGTAATTATAAAGGCACCACCTTCTCCTCAGTTATTTTAAGACCCTTAGTGTTGGTCCGGCCGAGGCTTGAACCACGACCTCCCGCACAACAGACCGACGCTCTTACCAACTGAGCTAGCCAGCCGCAAATGGTTAACCCGCATGTCTTCTCGTAAAAGGGAGTTCAATGGGTACGCTCCCTACCCTTTCATAACCAAAAACGTTACCCAGGGTAAGCTAGTTGTCTACTATTGAAGAAATAGAAAACGCGCGCGCGTGCTGTGTGCTGTTATAAAGCACGCGGGTGCTTCYCGACACTTCTCGAGTAATCTGCCAATCCCCATGCTTTATAACTCCACACAGAACAGCAAGCAAGTTTTTTTTATTTCATTTATAAAATACAAATTACATGAATGACGAAACTGAAAGTGCGCGCATGTGCTGTGTGCTCTCATAAAGCACGTGCTCCCAACCAATCAGAACGCGAGGTTTAGAGCARTTATTTTATAAAACACAGCACTTGAGGGTCTTAAGACAATTTACCGCGAACATTACAATGCTATATTTTTCAAATGGTGCCAAAATTCACTAACCTGAAAAGGATGTTTCTGCTGTAGAGGTAAAACACCTTTTTTCCAATAACCTATAGCTTCTACGTCTTTACTAGTTACCTCCCAAACAGGAGTTTCWACAAAGGTTTGGCCAGATCGAATGAATATAGTGAAATCGATATCAGAAGATTTCGTCTTAGCAGTAAGAAAGAAATAAAAGGACAGGCATTTTGCTTGGGTTGGTGTTAGTGGTGGGCTGATGAGACGTGCTGATTTTAAACTTCTTTGAGCTAAAGAATGCTGCATGAACATGTATGTACCTGTGAAATAAACAGAACAAGGTATATGAGCTTCAAACATCTTATGTTACTAGCAATTGACTTTTTTTTTGTTTTTTTTTTTGTTTTGTTTTGTTTTTTTTTTGTTTTGAGAAACAAATACTCTTGTTTTGGCGAGCCTTTAGGGGAGCCAAAACACACCTGAACAAGTAAAAATGCACAGCCGTATCAGATGCTTAGCCGAAGTTGTTTATCATTTAATTGTGCAAAGAAATGCTCAAMATTCCTTTAAACTGTACCGTAGCGAGCAGATGAGCAGTGCTGATACGGTCTCATATCAGGCATGGTATTTTCCCGTATCACGCATRTTTTTCGCAGAATTAAATCATAATTGTCTTATATKTTTCCCTGTTACTAACCGCTGTTGAAGGAGTACGTGGTGTGATCGTAAGGACCCTTGTAGCCTAATATACTGCTAATTCTTGGGTTAGCAAGATGRTTTTGYAACCARTCGGTGTATTCTTTGTCGGTCTTGTCGCTGATGTAGCCGCATGTGCCATTCGTGAAGGTACAACTACCGCTTGTTTCTAGTCCAAACRAGAAAAAAAATAAGATAAGCAAAAATGACACTCTTCCAAGTTGCCGATCATTAAGGACACCAAAAAACAGTCCCGATTAAAAAATTGTAACGAGACTAGTTTAACTATATATAAGCATAACCCACCCCAACTCCTTGGTTTCGCATTTGGTGGAAAAAAATCACACGAATCGCTTCCTATTGAAGTGTTGATTTTGACGTCATCAATAGCAATATCTCCGTCTAATGACGTGAKTATTGTCCTTGCTGCCTGGATTTCAAACTGTAAAGAAGAAAAAAATAATATTAAACAACCAATGCAGTGAGGCTCGAACCCGATAAGCTGAGTTTGTTTAAGGTCTTGATAAAATGGATGTTAGTTAACTAAACGAAAAAAAAAAAACTTGTCTGGTTTGGCCATAGTTAATGAAAGCTGAATAATCAATTCTATAGGCTTACTGCGCGCAAAGTTGTTATTCAAAGATATTCTACAATGGATTGAATGTCGTTTATGAAGAGAGCATTTACCGAAAACCGATCTCCCTTCACTATCCTGATGGGTATCTGAGCTTTCCTCCATTTACTGCTTTGGTTGCTACTGACATTAGTTTCGTTTTCCTGTAGCTCCCACACAATAACGTTCTTTTGTGAACCTGGACGTAAAACAACTCTAATAGAGTCTACGTGATTGCGAACTGCGTGATAATAGAAAGAGAGACAAGCGAACGTTGTTGGAAATACAKGGCTAACCAGTCTTGCTATTGGTTGTTGCTGGTTCGTTCCTGGCATCTCAAGATAATATCCTATGGACAAAAAGTGATTAAAATCGGTCACTCATAAAAGCTACAATCATTACCATAATTAGTTGGCGTCCATGAACTTGTAGACCATGAGGGCTGCGGTTCTCATTGCTAGATATGCTTTATCTATGATTATTAA